GAAGAGAAGCAAATAAAAGGCTTTCATAAAAGTGTTTGAACTGATTTCTTCTCGTAATTGTAAGTCAACAGTGTCCATGGTCTTGGTAAAGACTAGGGGGTTGTGTGACAAACCTTTTGATAAAATTTTTAGCAAATTTGATTTTGATAAAAAAAAAAATTATGAAATATGTGGTTAAATGTTAATAAAAGTTGTGGGTTTCATAAAATATGTGGTTAAAATTGAAACTTGACCAATTAAAAAGTTAATAACCTTTTAACAGAATTTTGTCGAAGAAGAACTATGATTAGATTATAAACACTTAAATATGTCAACCAAATGATTTAAAACATTTGTGTCACGTGTATAATTTCATTATTAGATTCATATAATTTAGTGAGAATTACATGGAGGCTTACTTTTAAAGATTGCATTTCAAAAATCAGAATTATAGTTTATATATATATAAATCAGATGATAATACAATTTTTAATATTAAATTATAATATTGTAATTCAATTAATTATATACCCACCCCAAACCTTAATATTCATTTCCTCCCTCATTTTCAATCAATTCTCTCTCACTACTCTACCTCATCGAGCACCACCACCGACAGCGATTTGCGTGCCTATCTTCCTCACCGTAGATCAAGCGATGCATCGCTAGTTTGACGACTTCATCCCCGCAGTGATCTACGACTCGTTGTCGCCGCGACACACCGCATGGTGGTGGCGGTGCGATGGTATTGGTGGCACTAGTGGGGTGTGTTGCATTGTAGGGCTGTGTTAGTGGTGGTGGTGGTGCGTCTGTATAGGGTTATGTTGTTGGCATGTGTTGGGCTGTGTCTGTGGGTGGTGGCAATGCTATGGTGGTAGAGGCGCTTCGTGTAGTGAATGGTGGTGGCAGTGGTTTTTGTTGGTAGCGATGGTGGTGGATCTAGCGGTGGAGATGGATTTGTTTTTGGATCGAAGGTGAGTCCGACGATGGCATTGTTGGATCTAGTGGTAGTAGTGGCGGTGATTTTGTTAGTGCAGGTGGTGGCAGTGGTGGTTTTTGTTCATATAAACGGTGGTGGCAATGGTTTTTGTTTACACGTGGTGGTGGTGGTGGTGGTGCTTGACGACGGATTTGAGAATTTGTTTTGGTGGGGGTTGTGGTTAGGGAGTGGTGGTAGTGGTGGAAAAAGTGAAGTGGGGTGGGTGCGTGGGTTGGGATGGGATGGGATGGGGTGACCAACAATTTGATAGATTGTGGCCAATAAATTGATTAATTTGTAATCAATAAATAATATAAGATCTATAAAAATGTGATTGTGATTCACAATTTATTAAGTTGTGATCGAGAAATTATTTTTGACAAATTCATTTGATAATATATGACCATTAAATAAGTTGTAATTTATAAAATTGGTGATTTTGTGATTAATAAATAAATTGTGACTTATAATTTTTTTTCTTAAATAAATTTTTGATATGTAATTACAAATAATTTGTGACCTACAAATTTTTTGATCTATTACCCAAAAATAATTTGTTTTATGATCGAGAAATAATTTATGACCAATTAATTCAATAATTGTGACCAAATTGTATAAAATTATTATCTTAGTATATTTAATTAATAAAATAAATTTTTAGATAGTTATTTCATAAAAAAAAAGTAATTAATATCTAACTTTTGAAATTTTAAATCTCATTTCTTAGTTTTGAAATAAGTAAGACTTAATCTCTTACTTATGAAATTCTCACTATTATTTATTATCCATTCAATTTAGGTCAAATTCAGTGGACGGGAATATTCAAAATCTCTAATATTATATGAAGTAGGGTTTTTTCTTCCCTATTAATTGTTTAACCCTATTGTCAATATCAACTCATAAACAAATTGTTGCATAATTTTAAAGCATAAAGCATGTATATATAAAATTGTACATATGTCAAAAACTATCTACTAGCGAAGAAATATTGAAGAGCGCTGTCAATTTTCAGATTATTTGAGATTTGCAGCAAACTATTTTATGTTGGTCTAATCTTTCGTCTTTTAACATGTTACATCAAGATTGCATCTCACATATAAATATTATTAGTCTCTTGACTCTAAAAATTTATTCAACACATGCTCAATTGTTGCCATCTCCACTTGTTTATGTATATTTTTTTTAATTACCTTGATGTTTTCAAGATTATTTTAGCTGGAATAGATTAATAAAATTCTTTATAGAAAATTCAAAATTCTCAAAGAATATTCAATTGCATATCTTGATATAAACATGATGAATTCAGGCATAAATATGAACATTTTTATCCTTTCTTTTTTTCTTTTGCTTCCTTATGAATGGCCATACGATGAAGTTCTTTTTTTCAAGAACGTGTAATCCATATTATTAAAAATTTGAAAGAATCTACGGATCTTTCTAAAACTCAAGGATTGAATACGTACAAATGCAAGTAATGCATGCCTCGTATGTATAACACGGCCCATCATTGTATAAACACGAAAAAAAAAATCTAAATTCAACCTATACGAGATGAAGCGAATCCTGAAATTAAAAATCACTTTATATCCAAATCTCCATTATATTAATTTTTTCCCTCTGGACAACAAAAGCAGCCGTACATGATTGACTACAATTTATTGTGAAGATCGGATTATTCATCATCGTCATCATTATTTTCCATTGATTTAAAATTCAAAAAAGCAAATGTAAATTTAAAACCAACGGTAAAATCAGATCCTCCATCCAATCCCCCTGCTTTATCACCCGTTAATATGACTATTACACCACTAACTTTAACTCACCATTAATTAAAAAAAAAAAGAAAAAATCATTCAAGAAAATTATGTTACAAACTTTAGTTCTGGACTTGAGTCCGCATAGAAAACGACATCGTATTTCTGATACACCTTTAACATTAATGGATTCTCGTGACTTGTCCCAAAATAGTCGACAAATAAAGCTTAGGTAGTTGCCGTCAATGGTCACGTCGATTCACCTCACACTGTAAATGGTGCTGTGTGTGAAAATCTGAATAAAATAAACCAAAAGAGATATAAATAGATTTATAGACCACAGCTGGAGTAGTTAAAGGGTGTCAATCGAGAAAATGAAATTGCACAAAACCGTCCTGAACAAAATAATCAAAGCCTGATGTACAAAGGCGGCTCACCCCACTCATCAACCACAAAGTCAACCTCCCCGGCCCCCCCACCCCTCCTTCCTACACCTTTCGTGTGTATAATCTCTTCATTTATATACCATCCTCTATTACATTTCTCTTTGCAACTCACTTTTCTTCAGTCTTTCTAATACACACTGGAATGGAGGTGGAGGTGGTGATTCCGTCGGTGTCGACGGACTTCAACTTCGACAGTGCATGTACATCACCATACATAAGTGCCCCGTCGAGCCCTCAACGTTTTGGCACCTTCTTCTACAGCGCCCCCACTAGCCCTGACCGTGCAGCAGCTTTCTACAACGAGTTCAACCGTTCCTCCCCGTCGGCAGTTCCGTTTAACTGGGAAGAAAAGCCCGGAATTTCCAAAACACAAGGAACCAATAGTAGTTATTGTACAAGTGAAGGTTATGATGATCAGAGAGGTGCAGACTTTTCTTTTGATTTTAGTGGACAACTTGAGAGAGTTTCTTTATCTGCTGATGAACTTTTCGATGGAGGCAAGATCAAGCCGTTAAAGCCTCCCCCGCGCTTACAATCTAAGCCCCTGGATTCTCCAAAATCGCATCGATCTCCCAAGAAAATGATCAAAGAAGCATTCTCCCCGCGCCACAGGAAGAATGAGTTCGACCCATTTGCAGCAGCAATTGAACAGACTCGTAAAAAAAGCATTCAAGAAATCTCACGAGGAAGAGAAAGAAGTACTTCTTCAAGTTCTAGACACAAACAAACGAGATCTTTATCCCCTTTCAGGGTTTCAGATTTGTTATTCGATCCCGACACCAATCAAGAAACCACAAAGAATTCTTCTAAGGCATCATTATTTTTAACTTCATCTTTCTCTTCATTATGGTACAAAAACTGGAAGATTAAGGACTTATTACTGTTCAGAAGTGCATCAGAAAGTCGAGCAACGGATAAAAACCAGTTCAACAAACACGCATTGTTTAAGAAAAACAATCTGGACGACATAAAGAATTCGAGCTTCAGGTCTACAGACAGTGTAGGATCGGTGTCAAGTAGAAGACGAGGGCCACCAATTTCATCTCATGAATTGCATTACACCGTGAAAAGGGCAGTTTCAGAGGAGATGAAGAAGAGGACCTTCTTGCCATACAGGCAAGGATTATTAGGCTGCTTAGGCTTCAATCCTATGAATCTCTCTAAAGGGCTTGGTCCTACTGGTTCATTATCTCGTGGGTGAAATCAGATTTTCTCAATCTGTATTTTGTGCAACTGTTCATCAATGTGTAAGGTTTTCGTTTAGGATTAATCTATTTTGCCAGAAAGGTTGACATATGTGTAAGTGACAATCGATGATTGGATTGGAAAGTTGACTGTATTTTACATTGTCTAATGATAGAATGTTGTGTGACATTATGTCAAGGATTATGTCAAAATTTCTGGTCCTATAGCATGATTGGTTCGTTTATACCAAGACGATTCATTATTTTCTTAAAGAACAATTTTCATTTCTTCATTTCCAATATGATTTGATATTTGCATTCTCAACTCACGTGTATGTATCAAATACGTGTCATACAATAGTCCGGGTAATTTCACAGGATTTGTATGGTAAACTCACCAAGCATAAGATGGAACATTATGCAGGGTCGTAGTTTGAGAGATTGTGCAATTACCTTTGTGAAAAGGCAAAAATCATGTTCACAAACTGGTGCGTGCAATAATTTATTCACAGGTGTGGTGTCCACATTGTTTTCATAGTACTAGCAGATCATCATAGTACCTAAAATCAAACATTTTCAAGTGTTTCTTTGCGGAATTAAAGAATCATACTGTCCATTGATATTGTCTTGTCTTCTCAGCATCACAAAAAACTGAGACAAAAAGAGCAAATCTTGTTCAGGCCTGAATTTTGACACTTTAGTTTTAGTTTTGCACAGGGAAATGCACCCCGGCACACCTTTGGTACATCAATTGGATTAACAATTTATCGACCACACTCGACTTTGTTTGTTCTTGTCGTGTCATTTTTTTCTTTTGTTAGGTCGTAACTTAAATATCTACTTTCTTACCCCTCAAACATTTATTTGAATCTGAAATTCAATTTCTTAAAGTCTACAAGTACTAACCACTTATTTATAATTGAAACTGATTGTAAACAACTCCCAAACATGAAGTTCTTGATTGGTCGATGGTTAACAATGTATTTAAAATAATACTGCTTGTATATAATGAAGTTATATAATGATTTATATACAAACGCTGTGTTAAAAAGATATTTAAGGAAGTTCTTTTTTTTTATTTAGTTGAAAAAATTCTAACCCAATTATATATCACAGTATCATGTGTACGTAAATCATTATTTACACGTAGCACAATCGATTTATTTATTTGTTCAATGGTTAGTCTCGCATGCGTTATTCTCATTAATATGGTGGACTTAATATAGTGTGAACGTGGTAACACGTGCCAGAGAATTTGGACAGAATATTAATACCAGTCCAGTGCAATTGCCGATTTCTTTGAATGGAGACCCATACCTAGGTCCATTATACTCATTATCATAGTTGAAAACCCCACTCTTACTATAAACAAATATTGACTCATGACTTGAGATACACGTCATATACTTGTATGACCAAAATTATATGAGAAATAAAATGTGTCTGTAACCACTGGCGGGCTCGGGGGAGTCTGGGGTAACGTCAACCCAACTTTTGAGAATTTCTCTTTTTATATATGTATATAAAGTTATATTTGATATCGATTGAAATTTTAATTTAAATCAAAGTTAACAATTAATTTTAATAACATATTTCATGAAATCTATAATTGTTTTAACTTTTATCAAAATTACTAAAAATTTGATTTTAATCTCCACCAAATATGAGCAAAATCACAATAAATTTGAATTTTTCTCTTTTCTCTTGCTCTCTTTTAATATTTTCCTTACACCTTTTAATAAAATCTTTAACTCTTCTAATTTTTTAAAAT